GCAGATTTTAAAGCAGTGCCACTGCTCATGCAGGGAAGGATGACTGTATGTGTCATACTACAGAACAGCGCCAAGGCAGGCTACTGAGCTTCCATTGTACGGAGTGATGCTTCCTTACTGAAGTTCTCAATATCAACCATGCTAGAAAAAAATAGTTGTTGCTACAAACTGTAAGAAGAGATTTACAGGTAGAAAGAAATGTTGAGATAAGATGTTTCTGGAGTACAGCAACATATAAACTGCTGTTCATTCATTTTGAATCACTGATCTCAAAGCCTCAGTCCCTCATATTAGAGACAACACGAACGCTTCTGTTCCCTTCAGCATCATCAGACTATCAGCAGGCTACAAAACCAGGTCACCTATAAAAGCATTTTTATGGTATGCGTGCTCAGATGAATATCATCAGCTTCCACTGATCAAATTCATTTCATCCAGGACCAGAACTAACTAACATGCTTTTGGCAGGCAGAATTTTAATGCCTGTGCTCATACTCATCCTGGAATTAATCTTTCTGAAGTGACTATAATTTTTTTTAATTAGGACTATCACAACCTGAGGATATATTAATTAACCATCACATAGCAATTAATACTTTATATCTGCTCATCCTCATCACAGTTCGTAGCATGATTAATAACCATTTTTAAGAGTGAATCATCCTACTTAATAATTACATCTTGTTTGTTATAGCTTGCAAGATCTGTAACAATCCTTACGCACTTCTTGGGAGTTAATTACTATGGGTGATCAGTGCTCTCAACATCTCTTCCTACTCAGCCATTAAACCCCAGGGACTTCCCTGTATTTTCCTGACCATTCCTTACCCCAGTCCTTGCTGTGGTCCCAGTTGTGTGCTGTTTTTGTCATCTCTAGCTGTGTATAATCTGGAAGCTTATCTGTAATGGCACTGCTCTTACCTATCACTTTTCCCTGAGGCTCTCAAAATGCTTTAGAAAGAATGGAAAATATGATTAAAGCTCCTTCTCACACACACACACAGAAAAGGAAAGTGCAAAATGAAGAACCAGAGTTCTGCTGTTGGAGGCACGTAAGAACTCTCCAACATCCTTAGGAAACATCTTGCTTAGAAAAACAGGAAGTTTGGTTCCAAGGTACAGTCGAAAATCTAGGGCTGTGGTTGCACTGATGTTCTCCCTGCACCTGCCTGCCCACCATTTCTTCTCCAAGTGAGGTAGGGAGCAGGGGGCTCATGGTGACTGCTTCCCTTCCTGCTCATCCTCTGCTAGATTGCAGCCTGTAATATGAACATTGATTTCCTTTGACTACTTTTGTAAGATCTGTGCACCACTTTGCCAGAAAGGAGCTTCCAAATACACACGGCAGACCAGGGAAAGGAATATTTTCAACGAGTCAGCCATTTCTCTTCCATTGCACATCACTCACACAGTTTCCAAAGGAGCTGAAGAGATGCACTGTGTTCAGATCTTTAGCACAGGGGAAAGACAGCAGAGAGCACAGTGGACAAACCCTCAGCCTGTGTAAGTGTTCACAGCTTCGCTAACTTCTACAGAGACAGACAGCATGACTGCCCACCCCTTTGGGCGTGCTGGCTTTTTTCATTAAAAAAGAATACTTCCTGGGCAATGACTTTACATAGCTGCAGGTGTACTCCTTCAAATGCTTGTTTATAATTAAAGAACTAGAAAGTTAAGAGTATACAACGATAATCAGCTTTCCTGGAAACTGTTACTACAACAATCACCAAGCCCCAGGGATGAGCTGGGATATTCCTTGACTGTTTTTTTTCCATGCCTTCTGATTATCATTTGTGCTTTGCTTTACCCTGGAGGTTTTCATCAGCTGATCACCTATTTTATCAGACTGCTAAAGATCCTACATGGGAAGAAGAAAAAGGAGGAGGACTGAGCACCTGTGTACAAATATTATTGCACCAGTGATGCTATTTTGCCAAATATTGGTACATGACATGACAAGTAAGGCATGTTAATTCAGCAAATACAAATATTTTCTTCTCTCATCCCTGTAGAACATGGACCACATGGATTTTGGGAAGCTAAACCCTATATTTTAAACTGAAAATTAATTGATTACTCAAGTAAATTTACTGGAGTTTGCTACAGAAGATGCTATTTCAAATTTTATGGCAAGCCAGTACAGGGGAAAGTGAAGGGAAAGTCAGGGGGATAATAAATAGGAAAAGAGTGACAGGGAGTTGTTTCAGGAGAAAGTGGTATGAGGTAGCTGCTACTAAGTCCTTAATAAGTCATTTAGCAGCTCGCTTGCTCCCTTGAGTTATCATCTCTGCTCTGTGGCATGTGCACTAAGGTAAGTAAGTTTCTCACCATCTTGGGGAAACAGAAGCTTAAAAGATGAACGCCCCAAGTTATAGTCTTCTGCTAACAAATTTTTAGGACTCAACAAATTGAAAATACCTGAAATTACTACACTGCAAGTGGTTGTTAGTGTAATTCAGAATACAAATTTTAGCTGGGCATTCAATTTGGGGAGCATGATAAAACTGCATATAGCATGCTCTATGATCAGTACCACCACTGCTGCAAGCCCCGGTGAGCCGATCCGCTCTCTAGGTATGTCTAAGGCCCTTCCTGCAGCAATAGTTGACCTGTCCTGAGGGCACCCTTCTGACACCCCTTACTGCCTACCATGATGCCTGTGCACTTACTAACACCGAGAGCTATTTCTGTCTGCCATTTCCCACCCCATGCTGTCCACCACAACTTGTATTTTGATTAGGAGATTTGAGAAGAAGGGAAAAGATCTGCCAGGACAACTCCTACAGAGGCTTCCTAGAAGATTTAAAAAATATTCTGCTGTCATGTCATGGTTTACCTTCCCCCCATTTCACCTGACAGTTAAAGGCAGCAGAGAGATGGGAAATTGTGCAACAAAGAGCTCAGATCAAAGCAGAGACGAAAACCTATCTCAGGTGATCCTTCTCACCCTCTAGCCTAGAAATCGTTAAAACAACTGAACCAGCAGGTTCAGACTCACAAAAACTAGTGTTTCCATGTTTGTACAACCTGCCTGTGCGTTTCTACATTCCCAATAGGAAAGGAAGTACTGCAAAAAAACCCTGTTCTGCTAATAATTTCACCATCATTAAAAACAGGATGCATCAGCCCATAAAAGACCGCATCTAGAAAATGACCAGAGCAAACCATGGTCACACTTTCTAGCACCTGATCTCCAGGGAGTTTGAGAAGCCTGTTGTATGAAACAGTAAATAACCATCCCAAAACCAAGTGTGAGATCGCAATTTAAATGAACCTTCTAACTTTGTGAGGCTCATTTGAGACGTTTCCAGAGCCTGTGCTGGTTCAAGGCCTGCTTACGGCCCCTGCTCTGTTCCTTTAAAGAGACCACAGAAAATGGAGTTGCACAGCAGGCCATTTTCTGGACAAGTTTTGGTTTTCCTTCCTGGCTGGCTGTGGCTTAGAATAAGA